GGGGGGGGGGTCTGCTCCGGGCGAGAATGAAAAGTGCGCTTACTGTCAGGGCGCGAGAAATACGAGCGGCCGGAGGCGGGCGGGGGCTCCGCGACCGCCACCGACCCGGCGGCGGACAGGACGGCATGTCCGAAAAGCTTATGTGACGCCCGGCGGCGCGACAGAGCAAGGTCTTAAATTGGCCGCTAATCGATCGCCAGTAAACAGAGGACTTTTTAAACACAATCGGACGATAAACGTAATGAAAAGAAGGGGCGAGGTGTGCGTAACGATTGGGGACAAATCTCTAATATAGCGCGAGATGAGTTTGGACACAGAGCTGAACATAAACACCAGCCGCTACTGTCGCACGGCTCCCGCCAGTGACACGTTCCTGTTTTCTTCCCTCTGCATCGTCTTCTTTTTGGCGAGGTGAATAATAAGGTGCGGAACCCTTCCCCCCTAAACCCCCCAGCTGGAATTCACGGAAACAACGTCCCATCGCTGCTGCTGCTGCTGGTCTGTCGTCCTCGACAGCTTATGATTTGCATACACCAAGCCCCCGAAACGCGCCATTGTCAAGCAGCGGCGGACAGCGAGCGGGGCCCCGCCACGACGGTCCAAGCAGCAGATTCCGAGACGAGTTATGATTACAACATTTTAATGGCGTATCGATCGCATTCTTCACCGCCCCGATACACAAGGTCAGCCGCGCGCGCACCACGTGACCCCCGACCGGCTCACATCCTCGACGGGGTCACACAGGGGTTGTGTGTGAACGGCGGCGTCCACCTGATCCGCACGCCACATCACTCGCACCGCGGCGGGACAATGGGGAGCCCCAAAGGGTGCGGCGGGCGGCAGCGGGCCCCCAACCCCTCCTTGAATGCGCTAAAAAAGCAGCAGAGGCAACAGAGGCAAAGCACCAGGAGGAGGACGGATCACTCGGTCGGCCGGTCGAGCCGAAGACATCTGCCGCGCGGGCCGATCGCGTCGGCCTCAAAAGAACATCTGCAGCGAGCGAGGAAGGTGAGGCGCAGCAGAGAGGGGAAAAAATGAAGTAGCTCAGCAAGAAAAAGGATTGGAGTTCATCGCAGGGTGAAAGAAGAATGGGAGCGGGCTGCTGCTGCTACTGCATCACGTGACGACTGATTCCACGCATCGGAGGGCGGCGTAAATGAGGAATCGTAACATTCCCAGGGTCTCGTCGTCGCCCCCTCTCAGAAGTGTGGAGTACATGTAGTGCCCATAGCACATGGGGGTGGAGGGGACGACTGAATGTAAATAACGTCCCATATCGACTGTAATTCCCACGACGCGGTGTGCGACTTTCTCGTCATGGCGTCCCGGCTCGCGGCCGGCGCATCGCGACTAAAGTTGCTGCTACCACTGCTGCTGATCCTAAGGGATCCAACTGTTCCCTCGCGGATAAAATGGGTTTGGAACCACTTAGTGGAACCGCGCCTGGTAGGTACGCCGTACGAAACCCGTGAGGCCGTGTTGACTTTGTCGGAGGCGAGGTTTTCGCCGGTTGTTCCTCCATGGTATTATTACCTGGTTCCTACAGGGGTAAACCGTGTGAGTACACCCGCGGGTCGGGTGTTGCAGAGCTCTAGCCAGCGACGCCACACCCCACACCGCGGCGGGACGTGCGCAGGGCGCTCGCGGCGATGGTAGTTTTTGCATGCACCGCGGTGTGGTCGCGTGGACACTGATGATGTGCTCCTGTACCGCGCGTAAGTTTGCATCAGCAAGCGTCTGCTGAGCTGCGGTTTAACAAAAATAAAGAATACAAAACAGCAGTGCGCTCGCGCGTTTTGTTTCCTCATCGCAACAAAAGCAGGTGAAAAAGAGATGTGCTTGCATGAAAGACCATCCAGCGAAGCCTCATGCTCCAAAACCACATACGTACGAACTACAACACGGTGGAATTCCACTTCGCCTCGCTTTCTAAGACAGCCGACGTCGAAGTAACAACCAACTACTACTCAAAGAAAACAAGTAAAATTCAGAAAACCTGGGGGAAGGGGAGAGGGAGGCGGTTGCGCGCGCCGCTCAAAAAACATGGCGCGTGCAGTAATGACACAATTAGGGAGTCCAGAGCCGGCGCTAATTGTCAAAGCCAAGGGTTAAACTGTGTCCCCCTCGGGTCTCTCGGAGGAACATGCCGCGGGGGTCCCCTTTCCGAGAAGACCGGTACAACTCCTCGCAAGCAGTCGAACCTAACCCTAAAAATGCACCCACGGACGTTGCATGCTGGCGTGCACAATGCGACAACTTTTTTTTTGTATTCATGCTAGAGCAAATGACATAAGAGCCGATCACACGGCCGGTGTGGTGCAACCCAAGAAAGTCGCGGAAGTATTACCTTTCGATTGAATGTGATGTACGTCACACTGTAGTCGCCTTCGACACAAGCTCATCATTGTCATTCCCCCAGATCCTGATAATCCGTGTCCCAACGTAATGAAGAAAGGTTTGGACGACATTCATTTTTTTATTTGCGATTACCTGAGGCTAGCGGGGGGGGGGGGAGTGCAAAATCCGTCCGTAAAGCGACCCGGTCGCCTTACCACCACAACATCAATTCTCCTTTGTGGGCCACCACGACTACACTGCTGGAGGGAAAGAAAAGGAAATATTGACTAAGTTTTACCACAATTAGAGGAACTTCATATTCAGCAGCCATGTAACTAATATAACATCCGTCCGGTGGATTTGGGTAAAATTTGTTTCCTGAATGAGCAGAATAAGAAGTAAGGCTGAAACTGTACGGTTGCTTGGCCGGGGGCATTTCTTGCCCCGCCCTACCCCGCCGATGTAACTCACTAACCGACTCGTAATTGCCCGGGTAAGTACTGTCAAGAGCAGTTAGACGTTCCTCTCGACCTGCATTGAGGTGAGTCCCATTTGAATAAATTTGTCCACGAACCGCACGTGTGCTTCGTCGCGTTAATTAATGTTTCCGTCGATTGAAGGAGCTGCGCCAAATTTCGTCTCAATACAACAAGAGACCGAGTCGCAGGAGAGGATGACCGTGACCCGCACCATTTGAGGTTGAGGACGGGGGGGAAAGCGCAATAAACACTACCTGCAATCATTGGTTTAATAATTACAAATTTGCAAATATAATTGAATAGAACGTAAACATAACTTCTCAAAAAAGTGGGAAACAAACAGAGTGGAAAACTTAACATTAACCCTGACATGAAAGGTCATTTTAATTTACAAATACAGGAGACGAACAACTTTGAAAAAAAAATACCTTGAATAATTAAACAACATAAAATATTTGCAGTAACATGGCCGAAAGAGGTAGGAAACTATCAGTACAAGGAATAATATTCTCTATGAAATCTTACAACATAATTATTGTCAAAATTTATCTGAAAGCAATAGTATCTTTAACCCGAAGTATGAATTTTGAGATGTCTCGTCAAGACATGATGGAGTCCAAACGACGCGCCGCACAAAGTACACTCAAATGGCTTCTCTTCAGAGTGAGAAAAGAAGTGAGATTTAAGGCCAGAACCGTTGGTAAACCTCTTGTGACACACATTGCATTCATATGGTTTTTCCCCAGTATGGGTACGCAGGTGACTCCTAAGGCCCCCTGCCTGAGCAAAGCCTCTGAGACACACAGAGCATTTGAACGGCTTTTCACCAGTGTGAGTTCTAAGATGAGCTCTAAGGCTGCCATCTTGTGTGAAAGCTTTCAGACACACATCACACTTGAAAGGCTTCTCGCCGGTGTGCGTGCGACGGTGAACTACAAGTTCACTGCTGTGCCGGAACGTCTTGTCACAAAATGAGCAAGCAAATGCTTTTTCATCAGTGTGGGTCCGGAGGTGAGTCCGGAGTTGGCTCGCATCGCGCAACATCTTGTGGCACACACTGCACTTAAAAGGCTGTACAATAATGCCAGTATGACACCTTAAATGCGATGTGAGGTTCCCACGCTGTGTAAATGACCGTTCACACAAATTGCACTCGAACGGTTTTTCACCAGTGTGCGTACGGAGATGGGCCCTAAGACTGCAGGCCTGACTGAAAGTCCTGTAGCAAACAGCACATTCAAACGGTTTTTCCCCAGTATGCAGTCGGCTATGGACTACTAGCGTATTGCTGTTGGCGAACGTCCTGTTACAGACAGTGCACTTATATGGTTTTTCACCGGTATGAGTCCTGAGATGACCTCTTAGGTCATTGCTTTGTGCAAACGTCTTGAAGCAAACAGTGCATTCAAATGGCTTCTCACCAGTATGAATCCGGAAGTGAGTTCTCAAGTTGCCGGACTGAGAAAACTTCTTCTTGCAAACGGTGCACTCGTATGGCCGCTCACCAGTATGAATTCGGATATGGGTTTGCAGTTTATCAATCCAGGCGAACGTCTTATGGCACACGGTGCACTCGTAAGCCTCTCCACGGACATGGAGACGCATGTGTGCAGAAAGGGTGCCTTGAGAAGTACATCTCTTGCCGCAAACCGAGCACTTGATCGCCATGACAAGATGAAATCTGCACAGAAAACATCAGACCATCTTACCAAACTACACTGAATGGTACGTTACTTAATAATCCTACCCCGCCTCATGTATTTAAAACTACGTGCATCTACGCCAGGCCCCATGTCGTGTAACACTGTAACAGGCTTCACGATATCTTACAAAATACGTTGATGATGCACTGTGAAAAATATCGTCGTAAATTTACAAAAATTTTGCAAACTCCGAGGCAAACTCCAACTATAATTTAAGTTGTAAATTTACGACAGCACATTTCTTGCTCGCCAAGGGATTTGAAGTCGATACATACTTCATGTATTTTTACGATTACAAATTGTAATTTTACAACTTGCATCAAGGAAAATTTTCCTGTAAACCTATCTACTTTTTTCACAGTGTGCAGAGACATGGTATTATGTGAGTCGATCACCTCTCGAGCTCTACCACCTAAGTTGTTGTTTTGATATCCCACGCCAGCAGGATAGACAAGACAAGGAGATCAACATTTCCGGCAATAGCCCTCCATTGCTTCAGATGGCTTAACGCCCGGTGTTATATCGTAAACGGAGGTGCGAGAGGCGCCCCGAAAGCTGGAGCACACACCCACGAGGCACGAACCGACCAAAGGCTGGCCAAAGGCTTCACAGAGGATTCCAGAGGCTGCCGCCGGCCGCGCTGCGGGCTGCCACAGAGCAGCACACTGTTCCAGCCCCCGGCCTGATAAGACAAAATCGGTCACTGCATTACCCGCAAGGCACAGAGCCAACGGATTAGAAAGAGAGAGAGAGAGAATCCACACTTTTTATGGAGCTTCGAGTAGGACAGATCGGGGCAGGCAGTGTGGCTTCTGTCGTAAGGAGTGTAACAACTGCACTCGATGGAAATCGAGATGAAAATAGCGGGTAAAAATGCACACCCCGTACGTTGTAAAGTACAGGATTCCTCGCACATGCGCTAAACACTTTGCAATGGCACAAACGAGACGCGCGGTGATGGGCGGAAACAGCAAGAGAGCCCTCTTCACGCACGAGGCAATTTGCATATTTTTTCACGATGTTCAGAAACGGCGTCGCCGCGGACGCCGCGTGACGGGTTGTTAGATGTCCCTGCAGGGCGTACTCTGCTGCACTGCACCGCCATGGGATTAAAAATGAATGCGTTGGGACCGAACTCTGAGCACACTGCTCAAAAAACGCGCCTCGATAGGCCGTTTGTTTGGCTCCAGCGGCAGGGCAGGATGCCATCTCCCCGGCGAGAAGCGCAACTAACCCCTTGTCTCTTTTAAAAATTGAATGGCGCGTCGTCTCCCCCTTCCCTGTGGTCTCTCGGCGGGCCCTTCCCTGATGCGCCACGTGTTCAAATGACCGCGTAAAGCGATGATTATGGTGTCCGTTCGTCGCCCCGTTGCGTCCCGTGTTTCCCGCCCGAAACAACCTCGGCGAGCGTGTTCCGTTTAAATCACATCCTTCTCCCGTCAGCGGGCCCCAAACGGCGCATCGCATCGCGACAAAGGCCCCGCGAGCCGCGAGCCCGGCGCGGTGTCCTTCGTCGGAGTCCCGCGGCGGCGCCCTGTCGTTAAAGGCCGGTAGCCGGTCGGGAATAGAAATCTGCTCATTATATTGACCACCAACAAGGATATGAAATAGGCCGACAGCCGGGCAGGCAGCCTCACACCTCGCGTGGGAACCAATGACTGCCGCTAGACACAGCCCCCCCCCCCTCCTCTAGCCTCAACAGCCCGCGGGCAACACGCGCGCATGCCAACCACACTTCAACATGTCGGGGCTTAAAAGTCCTCCATATACGAAAACACGAGTGTTACAAAAACGAAGAATGTCCAGAAACGTGAACCCTTTACTACTCTAAACTGGGACGATATTTTACTTTTCAAACTGAAACACGCGGTATGGTCGTAGCTGTAAGTAAGATAAAGTCAGTCGCGGCTGTCGTGGGGCAAAGCCGACAGCTGAAGTGTGCGCGCACCCTGAAGGGGTGGCCAGGCCGGGGCAAGGCCGGGCAAGGCCGGGGTATAAAGCAGGCAGGGGCGATACCGTTCAGAAGGGGCGCGCCGAATCAAATCGGAGACGTGCGCCGCGGCCAGGCGCGACGCAAATGCTTTTGCTTCCCCCAAAGATCTGAATTTGGTTCGTTGGGCTGAAAGCCGCACACGGCGAGGAGGACCATCGCATCGTGTACTCTAGGCAGGCAGGGAAGCTCCCGCCCCGAAAGGGGTCCATCACACTGAACTGGCGCCCCGCCACGCCCCGCGCCACGCCTTCCTCGCTGGGCCTGCCGCACAAAGCTTTCGCAATCTCTCACATGAATGAACTTATCTCTCTCTCGCTCTATCCCCTCGCCTTCCTCCCTCCCCTCCTCCCCCCGTAATCCGCCCTTCAATCGTACTACGATGCAAACCTAATGGATCTAATACAAAGGACCGTGACAGAGACTCGTTGTGGCCCGGGCGTGGCGTGGCTGGGCGTGGAGAGGCGGGGCACCCAAGAGAGGCCGACAAAGGGTGCACCGCCAGTGCGCCCCGCCGCTGCGCCTGGCTGTGCCCCCCACACCCACCATAGGCTCCAGCCACAAGTAGTATGTGGCCGTGCGGTGCCGTACGGGTATGTGGTCGTCTCTCTGGCCGCGAGCCCCACACCCACACCCACCACCACCACACCACACACCCCCAGCACAAACAATACTCCAAAATATTTCTGCCCTCCAGGACGGCGGCGGGCGGCGCGCTGCGTCGCGTGCGAAAGCGATTGCATTCCGACGCGATACGTTGCGTGCCGCGCCGTGCGACACGCGGGGCGGAAGTTGAGCGGGGGGGGGGGGGCTGGCGCGTACACCGTAGGCAACCCCGGCACCACTGCGGGTGCATTAGAGGGATGATGCCACTGCAGCTAGGGGACGGGCCGGGAAGGAGACACCACCACCACCACCCTCTAGACGGCCTCCTGCACGCAATCATCTCCTGCGTATACAGTAGTACTTACTTTGCTGCGCGCCACCCGGAAAAGACGAACGTGCGCGCCGCAGATCCCAAAGTGGCACGCGTGACGATCCAAGCAATTTTACAAATTTTTCATTTGAACACAAAATAATGGTGTTCAGTCGTGAAACGACTAGAAGTCATTTTATCTTATAAAAAAGCATCTTTACAGGCTTATTACACTCACAACTAATTTTTTCAATAGCATTATACTTGCAAGGGACCGAACAATATTAGAGGCATAGTCGCAACTTATTGTAGGATAAGCCGTTCAAAATCAGAACGAGATTTTTAATTCTCTTACATTGACTAGATTTTTCTAGAGCCATATCATTTCTAATGATGCTGAAATAAAATGGTGAGAGGATTTAAATTACATTCTATGATAAGATATATTACGGAACTTTCAATTATTAAACTAAATGACTCGTGATCATTAAAACACCTCAGAGAGATAAGATGAAAATGAATCAAAGAATGACAAGTTAAAGTTTTCAATATGGGAGGAGTTTCAACACATTAAAATGAATATTATTTGATATAATTTCACTACAACCAGAGGCAAGTGAGGGTATTGAAAAAAATTTCTCCAGCTGATTGTAACAAGGGTTTGCCTTACCCAGAGTTTTACAATATTGGGATGTTCTACTATTTTTCGATACATTGTAAGTTAAATATCTTAATAGTATTCATTTGTCGAGGTCAAAAGTCATCCCAATTCTAATTACTGGGGACTGAGGACTGAACATGACAAATAGAATCAAACTTTCAAACTTGTAAAATAAGTAACATTAAAAATGTAAAATCGCAAATG